TGCTACATAGGTCTAGCTTACAGCAAGGTTATTTGTTTAATATAGTACTAGTATGTTACATACTAGTAATATATTATACATGGGTTATCACCACATATTGTTGCGGCAGGTAATTTATCACTGAGTGTACTATTACTCCTAGCGCAGCAACTTGTTGTTTTTCACAAGGTTGTTTGCCCAGACAATCTCAAGACAGAGTGCTTGTCCTGTGACCCTAGTGATGACAGATATAAGACTTCGGACCTTTTCACCACAAGTTGTTTTTTGTTTCGGTGACCCTTGGGGACCTGTTCCTTCCAGGAACGTAACTCCTTTTCTTTCCTAAGTGGGATATTTCTCTGGTTCCACCTATGCTATTTTTGATCTGATTGATCAGCTGCTAGCTGATTGCTTCTATGTGGAATCATACCCCTTTGGAGGTGACGTTCTTCTTGGTCTGAGCCTCAGGCAGATTCTTCAAGGCAAGGAAGCAAGTCCTAACACCTCAAGAGAGTGATCGCAGAAACATCTGCAGGATTTATGAGCAAAGCTAGCAGCTGTCGGTGCAGCCACATGATAAATCTTATTAAAGGTGTGGACAAAGGACCAGTTTAGGATCCTGCAAACCTCTGAGAATGACGCTAAAACAGAACGCCCAGGAAGTACTCATTGTGATGATTGAAAGGTCTGACTAACCCTAAACTGTGGCGGATAATAGGAAGTGGTACTGAACACAGTGCCACCCTCATTTTCCCCAAGTAAAAGTTGGTTAGAAAAACAGTCAAATTCAAAAGCTTAAAGTGACACTAAAATAAACAATAACATAAAGATTGATTATAAAATTAATAAAGACCTACATTTTTAATTTACCTTTAAATGCTGTAAAAAAATATTTGTTTCCGTGTAATAACTTCCTGGCAGAGGGAGGCTATTTTTTCTTCTCCATGGTCCCTATAGGAGGTGAAAAGTTGCCACCCTCTGTGCTCGTTCACGCTTTAAACCTAGACTTGAGGATGCTTCAAGCTCCCTCACATCTCCTCTGCTGACTCCTCCCTCCCATTTACATTCTGCACGGGAGTGTGAGCGGAGCTGTATATATCAAAGCTTGCCATCTCTCCGTTTTTCATTGCACAGCATGTGAGCCCCCAAACTACAAACATCTAAAACAGCATTTTTCTAATAGCCGGGAAATAGAGTAATCTCACCACTCGGTGTCACGCACATCCTGTCTGTGGAGAGGGAGGAGGGCAGGTAGCCAGGCACAGATGAAGAGGGGAAGGTGAGAGCCCAGCAATGAGGTGCAAGCAGCCTGACGGAAGCAAAGGGAGAGATGTTGCAGTGAGGGAGGTGGCTCTTTGTTAGATAGAAGTGACACGCCATGATAAGAGGGCAGAGGGAGTCAGCCACCAGGACTCTGAATAGAGGTGTGCACAGTGGGAGCTGTGCACGCAATGCCTTATGGGAAATGGAGTGGGGAGAGCGGTGCTCTCTCACAGAAAGATCATGAACTGATGGAGAGGCACGAAGCGTTTTTTTTTTATATAAATGTAAGATTGCAATCTAAAAATAGAAATGTAAAACGGGGTTATGTTAAATATATAAGGAGAGAACTGCAAAGTGAGTTTTGGGTCACTTTAAGCCAGCTCAAGACGCACTTGACAAAAAGCAGAGGCATTCTAAACCTCCACTAGCAGTCTGCAAAGGACTTCTGATGAGGCCCTGTTCTAAACGGTCAAGTCGTATATAGTCTCATATGCAGTTAAGGAATACATATCTCTGAGGCTGAGAGTGTAATAATCACACTCACCATCTCGGTACGAAGCACATTCACAAAGAAAGGGGAACTGATATTTAGTGGCATAAGCCTGAGAAAGCTTGGTGAATCAATCTAAAAATGGTAGAAGACGGGATGACCCTCAGGTTGATAAACAATGAAATGGTCTTCTGAAGGGAAGCCATAGCAGAAAGGTAAACTCTGACTATCTGCTTTACATTAGGAGGGATAAAGGGAAATTGAATTTAAATAAACCAGAGCTGGGTCAAGGGACAGAAAACACAATTACCTTAAAATTTAAATGAAAAGGAGAACCGGGCTTTTGCAAAAAGGTCCTAAAATCCACTTAACCTTGTGAAGGACAATACTGTCAGCTCTGAAACTCTGCTCAAGTGCTGGCTGTGGGGGAAGGCCACCTTCTGAAAGACAAGACCAGCAAAGAATAATTTCCCTGGTAGGTTAGAAAAAAAGGCTTCTAGAGCACCAAAAAAGGCCAAGTTCAAATTGCACGGCTCAAGAGGAAACAATGTGGAAAGAACATGACCAACCTCCAGTACAGGGTTACAAAACCACTTTTTTTTTTTAATGCTTACTATCCAGATTGTCTGTAGTTGGCAGCATATCTACAAGTCAACACCTACTGTGCAAAATTCTCCAGTGTATACAAGAGAAAATAGGATATTTGTACATACTGCAAAATTCCTTTCCACTACCATAATAGATGTTGCCATTTTTTTTCTTCTGTACTGCTTGTTACAACTAGGCAGAAAAGTTAGGAGGGTTAAGCCCCCCAGGCTGGCCTACCATTTTTAGTGTTTATTGTGCAATTTACGTGCCAGTGGCAGTATAGCCCACAGTTCAAAAATATGAAAAACTCTGCCATTTTCTTCCTTTCGCCTCATATCTATAAACAGTGTTATTCTTCATAATGTAACAGATATGGTCTTCCCAGCATATGTCTATGACCAGCTGAATACTGCAAGACAGGGAGAATAAAAAAAAACAAAAACACACCAGAGACATGCCAATATTGTCCTTGTACATTTATTAGTGAACCCTCTCAATTCAGCCACAACATTAAAAAAAATAAATGATTGCACTACCAGGTCAAGCAAAACTAGCAACTTTCATTTTAAAAAAAGTACAAATCTGTTAAAAATTTCAATCAGTATACACATATATATATAATACAATATTACTAGTTAAATGTTAAATGCTACAAACCAATATTATTCCAATGGAATGGAGGAAAAAGAAAACACACTCTGATAGCTTCAAGAACCATTTCTATATATTAGCATTTTTTCAAATACATACATGGGAAATGAGGTAACCAGTAAATGTGCAAGTACCAAAAGCAAAAATAAAGTTTATATATAGAGATATATCTATATGCTTACACTCACATATAGATATACAGTTCTAACACAGAAGACACCTCCGGGACCCTGAGTAAGGGAAGCCACAACTCTGGGGGGAAGGGGGCAGGAATGTTAGTGGGAGGGACAAAATGAGAACAATCAGCCCAATGTGAGTAGGGGTCCAGGAGGTTAGGATGATACAGTAAACAATCCACTATATCCCACCATAGGGGTGCTTGAAAGTAATGACAAATAAAAATGTGTGTGTGTATATATTACATATATATTAATATACATATATATTAATATACATACACACACTCATCTATGCAGCAATCACAGACATACTAAACCAATAGGTTGTACTTCTAGCATAATGATAATGAGGTCCTAAGTGCTAGAGCTCAGACCACACTCAAACTGTGGTTGTGGGGTTCCTACTAAGATTAGTGGAAGAACTATGCTTTTTATACAGTGGAGCAGAGGGAAGATGAAGGAATAACCTTTAGCAACTGGACTGGAGAAGGTCTTCAACAGGACTGAGCACTTCCCCCAGCAGTTGAGGAACTCCTAACGGATATGCAGCAGATACTGCTGTTGTCTTGTGTAAGTGTGCTGACAAGATTCTGAAGTACTGATAGATATATACAGTAAGACCTTTGGTAAATTGTGTGCTGTAAAACTAGGGCTTGATGCAGGTTTCTGCTGCAATTTCTGCTGCTGCCTCCTTCCCATAAGACCCACTGTGGCAGTTCTACAAATTTGACTTGCTTGTGAGGGGAAAAGAAAAACTGTAAAAATACAATCACGCTCCAGCATATGGAACAGTTTACATTCTCCACTGTTCTCACCATTAGCATATGGCTTAAATCTCCGTAGGCTGCCAATATGCAAAGAAATAATAATAAAAAAAAAAAAAACTTCATCTGAAGTCATCACCTGTATGATCAACAACAAGTGATAGGCTGGGCTTGGGGTGAGGCGTGGACCATATTCAGATGGCTGATACAAAGGTGAGGATGATGGATGAGTGATCAGTGCTTTGTAGTTTGTGTATTAGTTAGACATTTTTGTCGTTTATCCATCATGCAGAATACATAACTATAGCTCAGTGCATCAGTAATTATCAAACGATACAAATTATCCTGAAACCTTCCAACAGTGAGAACAGCGAAGGAGATGGTGGAAAGGAAGACGTCTACAGCCAAATGGTAACAAATCCTCTAACGTGTGACAGATCACTGCAAGGATTGTGTGACTATTCCGAATACTTCAGATGGGTAATGGAAAATAAAATGGAATAACAAAGGGCTGCACGGTTTTGCCCACAGCAACAAGAAAGCAAGATGGGTGGGGTCCTTCTATTATTTACAATGGGACTGGAGGCGGCAAGGACTCCTCTAGTACATGAAGGGACCCCAAGCAAATGCTGGATTTCCATCTACTGGAAAATCCCCTTCAGTTACTATGAACACTACAATTAGTTACTCTTTAGATATTTATATGGACCATTCTTGAGTGATCCGGTCACTTTAACAAGCAAAGTCTCCTGGCAGGTATAAAGCACAGGCACCTAAAGATGCTTCTTACCTGTGGCAGCTTTCAATTGCACTGTACTGCCTGTACAAGTCCTCATGTGTGTCAAGTCCTGCCCACTCCCTCCTGCTCCCCATACATTGCTACTGGCCCATCACTATGATGGACTGCCTGTCTGGCTAATAGGAAGGTGTGGGAGCGGGCAAATTTTAACTCTGCCAGGAAGTATTGGCACCTACAGGCGTCTACATTTTATACCGTTCACCATTTTCTTTTTGTTAAAGTGCAATGTTTCGTATATCAGTTTTGGGTGAGGCTCAACAGTAGCTGTCACTGGTAAAAGGAGACCAACCAGCCAAAGAGCTGTAAGAACCCCCAAAGGAGACTGAAATTAGCACTTTACACCCAAAACCAAAAAACGATTTTGGCTGCAGATATACTTTAACATCCTTTCTATTTTATGGCTCAGAATTGGGTAGAGTTTAACAGCAATGAAAAAATGACTATGTTGAACTAGTTCTTAAACATAGTGTGAAATGTCCGGCAGTTACCCACTGTTATGTGCTATGGGCCACTCTTTTTACTGAATTCAATTACTTTTGGTCTAAGAACACCCCATTCGCACACAATCCCTGCCCGAGTGTGACCGTTCTAGGCTGAAGAAAAAAAAAGAAAAGAATTCACATCCCAACAAACAGTTGAGGTGCCTTCTGCTTGCGAACAAGTGCACAGCAGGGATCAGCTCAGCATGATACATATCCCTATATAATGCGTATCCCAGTCCCACCCACCCCCCTCACGTCACTCCACAGACGGCCAAGGGTTAGCGGATACCATATTCCAAGCTGCTCAGACATGCATATTGTGAAACATTAAGACAGACTCTTTCTGTCTGACCATTAAAAATGCGCACACAGATCGGAAATGATTGGTTGGCTCTTGTTGTTTTCATTGCTGTTCAATCATGCAAACTTGAACTAAAAACAGATACAAATCATTAAATAAGGCAGCTGCTTGCCCACAGGTAACCCCGTGTTCGGTAACTCACAGGGAAGCTTGAATGGGGAAACCGCAGGTGCCGAGTGCAATCACTAGAACACAGCTTGGCGTGCAACAGATTTGACCCTGCAATGTCACACCAGCCTGCAACTGTGTGATCTGCTGCCTAACATACACTACGGAGGCATTACCAGGGCTTCTGCTAGCAGAAGACAGGAGAAAGATTATGGGCAAACAGCTCCTGCACCACTAGACTGGCCAATACAACGTCTGCTAGAAAGCTTGTCTAAAGCGAACCGAGGATACTGCTAGGAGCAGAGATACCTGCAACATATCTGTATTAGCAATAATATCTTGCATTACATGAAATGGCACATGGCAGTAGTGACTCGTTAGTAAAGGTCAAGAGGTAAAGAAAGGGTTAGCTGGTGATCAAAAAACTGCAAAGAGCCCCTTGTCTTCTTTTGCCTCTTCTATAGCAGAGGCAAAACTGTGATGCCTTCCTAATTTTCACCTCTGCTCCATGAAATAAAAGAAAAAAGAAATTGCTGATCTAAAGCAGAGCAAAAAGGTTGAGATTCCTCACTGGGTCACAAACAAAAACATCTATTGCGTTACTGTAAATCATGCTTGTTTCAAATCACACTATTTCATTGCTCTCAGGTAGACTGGAATGGATTGCTAAAACCACACACGTTTGAACGAAGCCGGAGACAAGATTAAAAAACAGGATTACGGAACGATACTAATATAAAGTTTAAAAAGGCCAAACTGATATTACAACCTTCTTTGAATGCAATTAGTTCTCATGGCATCAAGTAATAGAACATAAAATGCTGGTCCACAGAATTGAAAGAAAAATAACAAAACCGCCCGCTAGGGCTTCAGTGCAAACATATTTCAATAAGCAGCTGTGACATTCCCCTCAACTAAGGGGCTGACAGAAGAAATTTGCAGACAGGGAGCCCCTGGTAATGCCTCAAATTCCCGTTCGGGGGTCAGCACTGGCCTTAAAGATCCAGTCCTTTTAATTTATTTTTAACCTGTTAGCCTCAGCTACCCACACTGGAGAAAAGGGAGAAAAAGTTACTCTCCAATATGCAACCCAATTTCATCTCCAACACACCTTGAATCCCTCCCAAGTCCCACAACTACAATACATAATGTAGGAGCTCAGCTGGGAAGTACTGGGGTGTAGAGGTACTGGGATGGAGACAGTGGAATGTATGACTCTTGACACCACCTCCAGATTCAAATCTGCTGTGTCCTAGCCGCTAGGACAAGTGCAAGTGGAGGGGGAAGCTGAAGCATCCGAGACAGGCAAGGAGGCTGGTTTACTTTATGTTGATCCCTCTGGGTTTGTGCACTGGCAGGAAGTGGAGAGGGCAAATTCTTGTCCTCACTCCCCATCTCTGTGAGCTTCAGAGGCATCAGCCCGGCAGATGGGACATGTGCGGTTGGACTAAACAGGAACAAAAAACAGAAAAAAACAAGTCAATATTATACACAATAATAAACCTTAACACAAGAATGCAGATAGTTCCCCCAGGACCTGTCAAGACATATTGTTGCAAAGAATGTGGGAAGGCATTACTCCGACACATTCTGCTACTGGACCTTGGCCCATTTTTATATAATGCACTTTGGTATCACTGGCAGGTTAAGGGAAGAAAAATCAGCCCTTGACAGAAACTGGCACTTGGTGAAGGTTTGTACCAACAAGAAACTACAAAGAGAAAACGCAAAACTTTATCTGGTAGCTCCTTAAGGTGCCCATACACCTTACAATTATCTGCAGATTTTCTGTGGTCAGATGGAAAAAGTGCAACAGATTGGCCCAGGTGGAGATAACTCCATCCACACAGTTAAGTGTAGATGGAGGAATCTGTTGCACCTTTTCCATCTGACCACAGAAAATCTGAAGATAATTGTAAGGTGTATGGCCAGCTTTAGACACAGTATTTCACCCTCTGCGTGAGAATACCAGTGTCTGGCACTTCAAATTGTCACACAACCTAACCACCTAGTAACAGGCATACAAAATGTGGGCAAGAGCTCCAAATTCTAGTCTGACTTAAATCACACACCCAATAAAAAATAAAAAAAAAATAAAAAAAAAAACACGGTAAAACAACGTACCTTTAGCCACTTATCAACACACTTTGCATGGAACTCGTGGTTACAAGGTAACACTCTAAGAAGCTGCCGACTTTCAAAGTCACTAAAGCACACCACACACCTGTAAGAGAGCAAGAGATTTAGTGACAAAACAACTTCCAATCTTCAAATGTAGTGTTCATGATGAAGGGGTTGTAGGTATGCGATGCAAAAAAAAAAAAAGACCCAATTTACAAAGTAAACCCAGCAAGAGAAGGAACCTTATTTTTTTTTTTAAAGTTAGTCATTTTCAGTTGAGCCCAACAGGATGTAAACATTGCTGTCGCATGTCTAAAGATAAAGATCCTTTTCCTTGTGTTATAAAGCATGGTGAATTGGGCCTTATTCCTTTGGAAACATTCTACAAAATGTGAAAGCAGTTGAAATGCATGGACTAAAACTGTAACAGACAGCTTACATTAGAGTAAGAGAGGAGTAGGAAGTGAGGACACCTGGCTTTTGGTGAATGAGGAGAAAAGACACCAAGGCATGTGCTCCAAGTAAAAAACAATGATAGCATCCACTGAACCATGTGTAATCTTTCATAGAGCGGATAGATGAATGGATTACATTGTTATATCTTAAAACAGCATATTCTTTCTTTAGGGCCCATTCACACCACATCATCTCCAGACCAGATTGTTTCCAGGCCAGACCATAAGTGGTCCAGAAAATGGTGTGAACCTGCCCTTAGCGAGTTCTGCCTCACTGCATAGGTGAGTGCAGGTCCATGTTTCTCTGTACAATTTGTGCACCCGTATACATAACTTTTTGTAGTCCGCTTCTTTTCTTACTTTAGATCAGTGTATTATAGAGTTTTAGATCTTTTGTGTTTGCACTCATTTCCTATAAAATTAAAATTTCCCATGAATGAAAGCATGCGTTATTACAATTCATGTAATAAAAATGGGAGTTTTTAAAAACAAATATTTATAGAATTGTTTGGGAATATAGGAACATGAACACAGATGATAGGGAGGTAGAAACATCTCCCTCAAATACTCACAACGTCTGCTCGGACTGGTGGCTCTCAAGGTTGAAGCGGTATGATGGAAGCTGTTCAATGTTGGCTTTGGTGAGTCCACGGGGTTTTGCCTCTCCTAAGCGTTCAGCTAAGTTAAGCAATGCCTAAAAAGAAAGATCAAACTCACTGAATAAGAAAGTCCAAGATCTCACTGGCAATCAATCAGTTGAATGTAGAACAACATCCCACACTGTGTGTGGCTGGCCAACTGAGATAAGCTGCAGAAAGCAAGAGACCTGCAGATAGCCCTCAGACCATTAAGCTGCAACCCCTGTGACCTGGCGTTTACAGGGTGCTGGGCAGTTCCTAGATATGGTGCAGTGCGAGTTAGCAGGCTATTTCTAGATTAATAGGGAAATTACATACAATGTCACAAAGCTATCAAGTATGTCAAACAATATAGTAATGTAGATTTTAGCTACTATAAATATGGCTGAATATAAAAAACAAACTTGTGTAAGGAAGGGTACGTTTTATTAGCGATAAAACAATTATTTATTAAATGTCTTGAACTGGCCAAGGACCATAAAATGATGGTAAAAGGGTCACACGCAACCCAGAAAACACCTGCTTTACACAACAGGACTGAATGGTGCCATAGGGAAGATGACACTGGTTAGTGCCCATACTGTAAAAAAAGGTGCATTTTTTCCACAACGTTGTGCCTCCAAAAGGAAGGAAGATTTTTATAATGGGTTATAACGGATATATGGATCTAAACTATGGAAAATGCATATAATGAATTCAGAGTCAAACCAACCTTGGCTGTCCTGAATGGCTCTTATTCTACCTTAAAATTTGGTCTCGAGTATATGTTGGTCCGTTGGATTTAGATCTTGCTTTACTTTCCTTCTTATGGTACAGTAAGGGACGCAAGGCCCCCACCAGCCCCTTCGCATCCTTTTCCCCCCGTCTTTCTTTGCTTATATTACTTCTTCTCTAGTCCTTCCTTGCATTCATCGCTACCTGCATTAGGCGATACTGGCACTGGTAACCATAACCGCCTGCCCTCGACATGCCCCCCTTAGCCATACTGCTTTGGCGAGATATTTTGGGTTGGAATTGTGGCTTAGTTGCTTATTCTTTTGTCATTCCCCTTGTTCACTGATCTATTTTATCGATCAATCTATCGAGTGTTAATTTGGATTGTTATCTCTGCAAATTACATATTGTTATTACATATTGGTTTTCTGCATATCCTTTAATTTGTTCATGTTACACCATTGCAGTGTGGCGTTTGGGTTACCTTGTTACTTTTTAATAAAATTCTTGTAAAACAAAGTCAAACCAACCTCATAGTTCTCCATTTCCACATCGTCCACATCCAAATCCAAACTGATTGCTGGGCCAACAGAAGTGGGAGATACAGGAAGCATGGAACTAGAAGAAGCATGTGAACAAAAGCATGATTCAAAACACACAAATCATTTTTTTTGCACAGAAAGAGAATAACATTTTAAGTATAGCAATGTCCCCATCACTGAAACAAATAAAGACTGCGGGGTTTACAAGAAATACTCACAGAAAGTAGGGGAGAAAGCTGGGATAATATGAAGGAGGCAGTGCAGGAGGCGGCAGTGGTTGCTGTAGGCGATATCGTTGGGCATTTATTCGCCGTGGCATCAAATGGGCATATGGCTGCAAATTTACATAAGTAAAAACACAATTTTACTCCAAAGAACAAAAAGCGCAAATTCACAAGCAAAGCAAATTGACAAAAAAAACATGGAGAATACTATGTATTCTCAATTTAAAAGTAAATAGTTCTAACTTGTAATAGTCACCAAGTTCTTAACTAAAGAAGTGTCTGACTGTGCACTTACCACTGGAAAGGATAGCTCCTGGTGCAGTGCATCATGGGAGAGGTAATGCATGGGCGCTGAATGGGGTATTGCAGGCACAGGGTGAGAGTGGTGGAATGGGAAATTGCCCATGTGATGTTGGTCCCCTCGAAGATCTAACTCATTGTCTATCCTCTGCAGTGGCTAGATGGTGAAAATAAAGAAGATTAAAGAAAATGAGCCATGCTAAATAAAAACAGTAATATGAATGCTATGGCAATAGTGAAATTTACAATATGATGTACAGTTAAGCAATACATCTGCCTCTCTAGACCTCTTAATGAAAAACATTAAAATCTATCTAAAGCCAAAACCTTTTAGTTTTACATCAGTTTAGCTTAGTTTGGGATTTTTAGCAAAAGTGGGGGAAAGGTCTGCTTTAGAAAATGCATACAAGAAATTAGAATATTCATAAAAAGAGCAGTGCAACGTTTGTATGATTTCACTAAAGATCGCAATAGCTTGGATGCCGAAATTAAATCATATTACATTCATTGGGTAAACAAACATTTTACTTTTACTTACAATGACTGTTTTTCCACTTCCTGGTTGAGGGAGGTACTGGTGATGTAACCCTGGGCTCACAGATGCATCCTGGAAAGGCTACATAACCCGTGCCTTCCGGGAAATCTCACCTCTAAACTGTATTAGAACTCACAAGATCTTGGAGGAAATGCATTTTTTCCCCTTCACATGTTCCAGGGGGCCGACCCAGAGTTCCAGGAAGTAAAGGGAGATGAATTTATCTGCCCCTAGTAAATATGACTAGCGTGAGAAGAATGGGGAGGTACAGAAAAATATGGTATGTAAAGAATAAAAATTCTACAATCATCTTTAAAAGAGAACTATGGGGTAAACTTTTTATCCCATAGTTCTCCTGAGGAGCATGGGAGGACATATATTAACCTCCTCCAGTTACCCAAAGCTCAGTATAAAGCAAGCTACAGCTTGCTGTATACTTAAAGTGCCGCAGTCGGGACGGATCCCGACAATACTGTCGAGATCCACCCAGCCAGCTGATTGATAGCGAGCTCTGTCTATCCAGAGGCAGAGCCAGCTGTGCCCACACCCTCCCCGTCCATTCCTCCAGTCAGCGCTGGAGGATCAGAGAGAGGAGGGGGGAATCCCTGTGGGGAGCCGTGACCGACAGTCACTGCTCTCTGCAGTGAGATGACTGGGAAATGAGTGAGCGATGGTATGTGTTCGCTCACTTCCCGATCAATAGAGCCGACCTGTGACAGTTTCAATGTCACACGTCGGCTCCAACTATGAGGATGAGTGGAAATCACACCTCATAATTCTCCTTTAAGTATATGTTTGTAGATTGCCATTTCTAAAAAGGTGCCTTGCTGTAATATTGAAAGTATTTTGATCACATTATTTGTAACTACCAGTCAACCAACTAAGGTGCGTATCAAAGTAATATTTGGTTTATTAAACAACATTTATTAGCATTCATTGTAAAGGATGGCAGAATCTTCCGCTGGCAGACAATTCTCAGTACAAATAACACAGGTTATACCATATTACAGCGTAACCCTAAACAGCACTTTACATGAACCAATAGGGCATATGGCAGCATTTGTAAATTACATTTCTTTTTTATTGGCATGAATAAAAACTCCTGCCTGGCAATTCCTAGACTAGGCAGTCTAAACCACATGGCCTTTGGCTACCAAATCGGTTTTGCAGAATCTATTTTTTCATGTAAAAAGTTAAAGTGCATCTAGACCCAAAAACAAAAATGTTATACATTGAAGCTTTCAGGTTTTTATATGAGGTTATTTGTGTTTTAGAAAGTACTGCTTTCAATAAAAGTTTTAAAATAATCCCATATTTGTTAAAAATGCCCTTTACTTTTCAAGGATAGTATTAAAGAGAACATAGTTTAGTAAAGAAGTGTCTTGTTTTTACATTTTCTAAGGTAATTAGATAGTGAACGTTGTAATGTTCTGGAGTAGGCAATGTCTACATCCCATTTTGGTTATTTTCACTCATAAGACACAGTGAGAGACTTTCAATAGTTAGTCTTTGGCACTCACTGCTCCAAGCTCATTCCCATGATATTGTCGGCCATTGTCGGTTGAGATTGTCGGCCATCACGGGAGTGAGCTTAGAGCGGTGGCTACACACAGGGACCATGGAAACAAAAGTAGCCACCCTCCAGAAGGAAGGACAGTGTCAGCATGAATTCAGAGATGATTTGAGGATCTACAGCTGACTGATGGGGAATGGACAGACCAGTACATCATCATCAGTGTGTTCTGCTGTCCTAGGAGCATGCCCAGGCAGCACTGTGCAAAGCAAAAGAGCTTCCTTATCCAGTGTGAGCATTGCTGTGCACATACAAACACGTCATCAATTTATGCTACCATAAAATCAATGACTATGTAGTAAAAGAATGGTAAGAATGACTGTAGCTCACCTATACCCATCCAGATAGGTTCCTTTTAAATCACCTACTTTAAATCTCAAAATATGCACCAGATGGAGATCTCTATTGTACCAACACAGCCAATTTTAGGAATCGGGGGTAAAATAGGATTTTGTACTTGACTTAAAAACCTATTCTTGGAGTATATTGAGGGACAAGGAAAAACAATCTGGTGATGCTGGCACCTACAGAAGGACTAGACACTGACACTAAAAAAATACAGGCCTGCCCAGAATAAGCCCTCCTACTAACAGCATGCATCAATATTGTAACAAAATAGTACCAAGAGCACAATCAAACAAAAACGAGTTGGGATCTGTGTCCCTCAATAGACTCCAATAAAAGGTTTTACAATGAGTATAAAATTAGAATTTTTACTTAACTGTAAACTCCTTTTCTTGGAGTACAGTACAAGACTTTGTCACAGAACATGGATTATATGCAGCTAACTTCACAAGACTGGACACTGGCAGCAAAAGAATCGCCTTTGCAGCCTTAGAGATCTTAAAAAGGACCCATGACTTAAAAGGAGAACTATGGAGGAGTGATTTTAGTAGATTTACTAGAAGAAAGGTGATGTTAGTAGAACGATGCTGTAAAGGTGCAAAAAGTGTTACCATATATATAAGCCCTGACAGAATTTATGGTCAGTTTCCTCAGGTTTGGATATTGGGAGCATCATGCTTTATTATCTAGCTGGATGTAGAATCCTATGCAGTAAACAAGGTGTTGAGAAGCACGTACAGATTTCAATTTAAGCCAACATATTAAAAATGACACTTTATCCTGGTACTTACCACTCTCTGTGGCTGCACCGTAACAAATGGGGTCAGAGAGGCCAAATGAGGCGGCTGGTGTGGTGGCAGCGGTGGGTGAGGGTGCAAGATGTAATGCTCGCTGGATAAGAGAGGAGGAAATGGCTGGTACGAAACAGGAAGCTGCTGCATGGTGCACCCTGGGATGATCTTTAAGAAAAACACAACTGGTTACTGCTTCAAACAATATAATATATGTCTAGTCAATACTTCAATGAATATATAGATTTTATTAATGATACATGTCTGTTGTACACTGCCTGGCAAAAAAAAAAAAACACCCTAATATTTAGTTTGACCACCATTAGCTTTGATTACGGCACACATTTACCATGGCATTGTTTCAATAGGCTTATGCAATGTCCCAACATTTATTTACACCCAGAGCTGCATTCATTTTTCCACCAGTGATGGGAAAGTAGGACCACTGTGTAAAATCTTCTCCAGCACATCTCAAACATTCTCAATGGCGTTAAGGTTTGGTCTCTGTGGTACCCAATCCATGTGTGAAAATTATGTTTCATACTCCCTCAACCACTCTTTCACAATATAAACCTAATGAATCCTGGTACTGTCATCTTAAAAATATGCCTGTGCCATCTGGGAAAAAAAAAATCCATTGATAAAAAAAACCTGGTCATTCAGTATATTTAGAAAGGCAGCTGACCTAATTTTCTGGGCACATAGCACTGCTGAACCTAGACCTGACCAACTGACGCAACCCCAGATCATAACACTGCCCGAAATCCAGGCGCCGACTCTTTTGTACTTTGTCCCATTGATAAAATATAAATTGCTCAAGTCTAACAATTTCCACAAATATATATATTTTTTTTAACAGACAGTACTTTGCTTTTTCAGGGCAAAGAAACATGTCTATTTTGCAGCAGGAAGGCTCATACATACCTTCCATATTATTTTCCTGCCTCCCTATTAACCAACTGGAGCACAACCTAGTGTTTTTTGGGGAATGGAGGTGCATATGACTCTCTCTCTCTCCTGCCTTTCAACAGTACAGGTAACCACCAGGCCAGGGTGCTGCCATTTTGGGGAAAGGAGAGGGTACTTGGCTCTGTGTAAGTTCCAAACCAGTGTTAAAAAACAGGATGACGGGGAAGTGCGTGCAAATATGAACTCCTCACCCTCCATGTCTTAGAGTGAACCGGTTAATTTACCCTTAAAAGGCAAACTACAAGTTTGCTTTAAGATGTTTAAAATTGAAAAGGTTTCTAAAAGGTTCAAGAGACACCGTCACTGAAACTATTAACCATTCTCAACTATTGTTAAAACTAGTGAAATCTGGGTCTCTGTTTTCACAAATCATAAACCTTAAAAACACTGCACTATAGACGAGTCAAGCAGTGCTAAAATCGCACCATAGTCAAAGAGCTCTATGGTTTTCTGGAATGGTACAAATCCATTCCCCCTCCTGATGCAAACCAAAAAAATGTGTAGCCATGCACAGCTGCTCCAGATTTTGTCTGCTCTGGTTTTGATAAATTCCCCTCTGTATATGTTTGGAATCAAAGGCAAATGCTCAAAACCTTGACCAACAGTACCTGCTCAAGGTACCCATGAACATAGGATGATCCTTGCCTGATCTGGTCAGGAGACATGCTAGATTTTTTTTTTAAACTAGCTTGCTAAGATTTACATAGATGATTGGGTCAGGCTGCATTTGGGACAGCATTTTATGTACACGTATGTTTGTTTCACTTAACAAGAATAGATTGTTCCATGCTTATATTATTCCAGGACATCCAAAGGCCATCTTAATTCTATGGCTAGCTTTAATGACACATTTATAAGTCTCATCAGTCTCTTCTATCCTTTCTCTCAGATAAAGGACAGTTTACATTTACCAGTTTAAACTAAACAGTACAAAACTGAAACAGAACAGTAACTGTCTACCATTAGAACAAAAAATGATATAAAAATAAAACAAAAGATCACAGCAACTAAAGTCATGCTTTTTACCACTTACCGGAGGAGGCAGGCAGCAAAGTGGATAGTGCTGGCTGCTGAACATGACAGAACATGCTGGCAGCTGCTGCGTGCTGCACCCTGGGATGTGTTGCCCAGTGTGCAAAGGGAAACCTTGAGTTACTGTTGTAACAGTATATGAAAGAGGGACAGGTCCCTGGTGCACCTGGAAAATACAAGAGGTCAGAAGTTGTATTAAAAACATACATAAGCATTACTGCCAAAACATAGTTATAGTCTCTGATGGCTATCAATCTTCATGCCTCAAGTCTATCCTAAATGGTCCAGCTTTTTACCCAATCTTCCAGTTTACATCCCAAAGTGATTTTTCCTATGTATTCTGTATGGACAGCGCACTGCAAATCAGCGACAAGGCACTGGAGTGAAAAAGTTATCCACCACTCCTAATCCCTATATTCTGGGTCACCCCTGTAGCTAACCAGGTGCCGATACCAAGCACGGGCTAGACTTCTCCCCAAAGTTTCCATAAATCCAAAAGAAGAAGTCAGCAGCACACTGTAATGTCCATTGTAGGTGAAGCTTTATTGTTCCAGACAAGGAACATGAAGTCCCACCTGGGACCACGCCCACCGATAGGTTTCAGCTTAAACTTGGCTGAATCGTAAACTTGGCTGAATCGTAGAGAACTCTCTACAACTAAGCCCAGGTTTAGGTGAAATGTGTCAGAAGTCCCCTGCAGGGCTTTGTGTTGCTGGTCTAGAATAATAAAGGTTTCATTTACACTGGACTTTACGGTGCTCTTCTGCTGACGCAACATCGAAGTCCAAAATTGTCTCGTGCATTCTTCATAGTCATTTCTGATGAATACATGGTTCACCACACCACCAAAAGCTCAACTGAAAAGCTGCACTAATCCGGTTGCTATAGAAACACATTTTCCTTGCACCTGTCTACCCCTAAGACCTGCACTTGGGTTCTTAATGGTTCTTTCTGTTCAAAGTCACTGGCTAATAAAGCTGTCAGGAGATAGGAGACAAATGTGTTGGTACCCTTATAGCCCATTGAAACAAGTCTTCACGACTCCTTAAAAATTATGGAATTAAAAGCAATTGTCTCGTGTATACCTGCATGACTTCGGAATGCCAGAGTAAAGCAGAGTGAGTGTGAAAATAGATACTTTATTGCTTTTACTACATAGAAATTCTAAAATAAACTGGACGGATTTGATGATGCCTCTAGAAAATATAATAATTGGATTATAGTAAACGAACTGCTTTTTGTAATTAGAATCACACGTCTTCAATCTTGTAATTAGCCGGCCTATTTAAAATGGAGAAAAGTAGTCACTCTTCTGTTTGGCATTTTTGTGTGCAACACACTGAACATAGACCCGAAAAAGCAAAGAAGAAAGTGTTCTAAGAAGAACAGAAAGAAAACTATAGACGAGGATGTCAAAAGGTACTACAAACTAAGACCATCTCCAGGCAACTTGATGTTTCTGTGAATACATCTTTAACCAGTTAACATCCGCGGTGTTAAACCCCCTTCCCATCCAGGCCATTTTTCAGTATTCAGCGCTGCGGTACTTTGACTGACATTTATTCCGTCATGCAGCGCTGTACTGAAATGAATTTTATACCCTTTTTTGGGGACAGATAGAGCTTTCTTTTGGTGGTATTTATTCACCACTGGGGTTTTTATTTTTTTACTATATTAAGGAAAAATCACCGACCGATCAGCGGCTGATCGGTTGTATGTGAAACAGCCGTTAACGGCTGTAGTAACAAGCGGGTCTTTCCTGCCCGGGCGCGCGCGAGCAGGAAAAAAATGCCGTCTGGCGACGGCAACCCGCAGATAGGAGTCAGCCGTCCGTCCGTTTTTTCTTAACGGGCGGATGGCAAGAGGTTAAGAAGAAGTTTAAAAGGTCCATGAAGTGTAGACAACATCCCTGGACATGGCTGCAAGTCGCTTGCTTGCAGTAAATGCCTCTAAAGGTTGTGCAACAACATATTAGTTTAAGGGTTCCATCACTTTTGGTCTTTCCAATTTAATTTGTTTTATTTAAAATAGTCCATTGAACGAAAAATTAAAATTAAAGCCTTAGGTTTATTAGTTATGAAATAGACAAGGATGGATGACAATTACTTTTGTCAGAGAAAAAAAACTGTATTTTCCTTTTTTCATGGGAGAGTACCAACAAATTTGTCCATAATTTTTACCTTGAAACTCAGGGATTTGCAAGCAAAATGATATCTACGATATATTAAACATCCTCACTAACCTTTTATATCCTTCTATATACCCCAGGTCTCTAGCTTTTTTTTTCCCCCTTCTTTCCCAGAGTCAAATTGGAACTTTAAAAAGGAGAACTATGGGGTTACGTCTTTTCCCCATAGTTCTCCTTAGGGTAATGGAAGGACACAAACTAGCGTCCTCCCGTCACCCTAGGCTCAATATACTACGAGCTGTAGCTCGCGGTATACTGAGACGCCGCAGCTGAAGTGGATCCCGACAATTGTGCCGGGATCCGCCCAGCTGCGTGAGTGACAGCTGGCTCTGCCTATCTAGAGGCAGAGCCAGCTGTACCCTCCCCCTCCGATCCCCCAGTCAGCGCTGGCAGATCGGAGCGGGGAGAGGGGAATCCAGCCCCTCCCCTGTCACAGCAGAGAGCCGTGACAGGATCGAGAGGTGAGCGAACGCCGTTATGTGTTCGCTCACCTCCCGATCTACTGAGCAGACCTGTGACAATCTCATTGTCACAGGTCGGCTTAGAACTATGAGGCGAGTGAAAATCACTCACCTCATAGTTCTCCTTTAAGTAGAGATTTAAAAACTGGGTGACCAGACAGGTTCTTATTGCAGAAGAGACATACTAAGCAATGCATCATACTTGCAGATGTCGCATCACTGGAGGGGAGGAGAGTATAGTTTCAGTTTAAATTAGTGCCACCAACTAAGACAGATGCCAGACCACAGATAGAAGGAATACAGGTGAAATTATCTCTAGCCAAAATGTTCTAATTTTGGCTAGAATAGGAACACTTGGTAATTAAACATTGACAATGGTTCTGTGTCCCACTGTAATAAAGTGATGAGAAATCAACATATTTACAGTTTTCACAGGAACAGGAGGGGAAGTCTTTCAATGGGGACACCACAGTTCTCATGACAACGAAGAGGATTTCCCCTAGCTTCCTACACACATCCTGCTCATGGGGGTGCTGACTATCACTTTAATCAAGCATCTAGCAGGCTTTCAACAAGTGCCATACTAGTGTCTACTAGCAGCTTGTTTAAAATGACAGTCCTTTACAAACTGGAGATAAGGCTTGACACAGCTCGCTGTAAACGCTGGTTTTATACAAGCTGAAGTCCAAGTGAACAAAAATCAAATGGTTTATCAAACCAGCATTCACAGGTCTGTAAGGAAGACTGAATAGTGCTGTGCCCATGAAATACATCATAGCATGCTTTTGGATTCTCCGATCTAGTGCCAAGACGTCAATAAAAATAATACCTTGGTCAACTGTTACCTGTTCATGAAGGTCAACCATGAATGGAGTTTGCTGAGTGGAGTGTGAAGCGGGGTGGAGCATTCGTGGTGGAGTGCTGGTGAGGGCGTAAACTCTATGTTCATCTACAGGAAAGAAGGCAGCCCACAAGGAACTATCATCCTGACTGACGATACTCTGTTGAGGTCTGTCCCTCCTTCCCCACTGACGCCTCACTGGAGGGCTGGATGGAGTGAAATAAAAACAATAAATAGTAATGGAACTTAAACAGCAAGGAAGCTTTAGAGAAAAATTATGGGAGCAACTTAAAAAGATTCATGCTAGAACCAATATTTTAGCAGAATGCACTAAAAGAAACGACTATACTTAATTGGCAAAAACATTATTAGAAAGTATTACATGAAACTTTTATAACCAATTGGCAAACACATAATTGTATCATATAATACGACTATAAAAAGGCTCTATCATCTAAATGTGTAAAATTGACACCCATTACAAGAGTGGCTGGCATATGTTTTTCTCCCGCAGGGAGAATGATTTGTGTTCACCAATCCACAGAACAGTTTTTTTCCCAGTGTCTAATGATAAAACACAAGTGTTGGAGCTTCTTGCCTGATTAAAAAACACACTTTCGATACTACAGCTGACAGCAGTCTACTGAACATACACAACATACCAAACGAAAGTTACACATAACTTTAATTTGGTTTTTAGAATACGATTATAACTTATGGTCCTTCAAGCTCCTGTATATCTACCTTATTCCTGGCATGGTTTGATATTTACCATGCTTTCCAATGAACTAATATAGCTGGACTAAGGCCATATCCAACCTATAGAGCTGGCTCAGGTTGCAGCTTGTGACCATTGTCACCAACAAAATTATATTTTATACAATTGCCCTTAGGTTCACCGAGAACCCACAACAACTCATCGGCTAAAATATCCGAAAAACAACAAACACGTGAAAGTAGAAGGGAAGGGGAAAACGGTCTGTAGTTATAGGATGGATAAGAGTTCCATAATACTCTGCACTCTAAAGGTGCCCATACACTGCTCGATTCTCTGCGAGAATTGCGGGAAATCCCGCGATCGTACGAGAATCGAGCAGTGTGAACGAAGACGTGCGACCGTTTCTACTGTACGGTCGCACGTCTTTTGTCGAACCAGCATGCTTGAAAACCCGCCGAGAATCGTACGATTGTCGGCGGGCTTCTAGCCTGCTCGTTTGATAGCTGTGGAACGGGCTGGTGTGCGCACGCGCACACTGCCCGTTCTGCATTGCGGTCATCGGAAGCCCGCCACTCAGCGGGGCGGGCTTTCGATGATCGCAAGTACGATCTGCCCGTCCAAGGTGGGCAGATCGTACGAGCTTTCAATAAGCATACGACCATCGCAAGACAAAAGTCTTGCGATGGTCGTAAGGTGTATGGGCACCTTAAGGGTTGGGGTTACACCCCAACATCCTCTGTATTTAGAAACATTTTATAGTTTTAATTATATACAGCAGCCACTATAAATAAAAAATTAACAAGAGCCATTTGGAGTATTATTCAGCTTAATGCTGGCCTGGGTTAAAAAAAAAAAAAAAAAATACTGTGGCACTGCTTTTACACATTCTCTGCTCTACCTTCCAATAGGTTTACAAACCTTTATGATCAGAATTAATCAGTTATGTTAACCTGCAATTCACTTTGTTTGAAGAACTCTAAAACCGTGTTTGAATCACCCTACTAAAAACTGGTAAACTAAATTATAAATCAACAAAAACGTTAAGAAGCGTGCAAAAGTAATGCCCCTAGGCTTTAAAAGTATATTTGTAATAAAAAAATAAGATGGTAAAAGGAGAGAAAAAAAAAAAACTAGCTTTATAATAAAAAACTTTAGAAGTACAGTCCGATTCTGGTTAAGATTTTAAAACGTAGTGTAGCCTGTGATGCACACTATGTTGGATGGTGATACCTTTTCTAGAGCCCCGCAGCTCCTACCTTCGCCTGAGGTGTGCTGGGGCGCTGCAGGGTCCCAAGAACCTCCGCTGGTTAATGGGCGCTGAAGGAGGCCATCTATTCACTGCCAGCTCCCATGGTCGCATTTGTGATGTCGGGAAGGCAAAGTGGCAAGATGGGCTTTCACGATGCACAGTATCTTCTCTCCTGCCGTCTGCCCTCTGTTAATTAAAATAAATATTTACAAACTGGACAACAAAAGGTTAAAAGAATCAAGCACTCTTATACATGCAGAATTATGAAAGAACATTTTTACATTCTGAACTTTTAAAGTGTAAGGAAAGTTACACAGAATTTAAGGCAGGTAGAGTTCTCACTGAGAATAACGGAGCAATGTCTGCTTGACCACAGACCTGCACAACATGAAGCAGAGGCACATCGACACAAAACTCCCCCCCTTCCTTCTGGGGCGGGAGTGGTGGTGCATTGAAGTCAATGCAGCGCCACGCCCCCTGCCCGCAATGCGATCAGACTCATGTTCTGGTCCAGTGCGAACGCAAAGTTTTGCCACGCGTCAGAGCGCACTGTGGGCAGAGGGGGGGTAGCTGCAGTGCCATTGACCAATACACCAACACTCCCTCTCTCACCCCAGAACGAAGGGAGGGAAGTTTAGTGTGCGATTGCTGTGCGTTCCAGCAGCTACCGCCCTGGAACGCACCGCAGCTGGTGTGAACTCGCCGTAAATCTAAACCTTAAAGCATCTCTGTTGTGAAAATAAAACTGCCCAAAAAAAAAGAAGTCCACTGTAAAGATTTTAAATACTCACCTCTACCAGTCACCGTAATAAAGAGAAACCACCCCTCAAATACTCTTTAGGAGTCAACCCCTCTGGGAGTGTCAGTACCCTGGTTCCCCACTACACAAAGTGGTTTGATCCACTATCACCTACTTCACTAGTGTGTCCTGTAGGATCGTAGATGTTATGAGCAAAACTAGGAACCAAACTCCCCCGAAAATAGATTCTGAAGAATCCTTGGGCAGTGGCCTCTCTTCATTACAGCGGTATGGGTCACTGAAGAGGTAGCATTTAAAGTCTTCCTTCCAAGGGACCCATTCTGGATGCATAATTTAAAGAACTATGGGGTCAGTGTTTTTCCCCATAGTTCTCCTTAGGGTAACGGGAGGACACAAACTAAGACACAGTCTCTTTAAATAACAGGCAAATAAGCAATGTGTTTTAGGCTGGGTTCACACCTAGGCGTATCGAATATGCGCGTTTGTCATGCGATTCGCGGGCTACTTGGCTGTATACCAATGGAAATGCGCGACAAAAACGCCCCAAAGAAGCTCCTGTACTTCTTTGGGCGTAGGACGTTTTGTAGCGCGTTCATACGGCCTGTAATACACCCAGGTGGGAACCATGCCCATAGGCAATAATGGAATTTTCGGTGTTTGAGCGTTTTGCAGAGCGTTCGAACGCGCTACAAAGCGCCCAGGTGTGAACCGGGCCTCAATAGTGCTCAACTCCTCACTGATGATATTTTATATTCATAGTCCCAGTCAGAATACTCTTCACTGAAGCATACTATATCTGCCAATGGAACAGAAATGTATTGCAAGTTTCATTTGCATGGTGAACCCCCCCCCCCCCCAAGGTAAAGATCCCAGATCAATAAAACAAATGTGTCACTTAATGTGCTAAATAAAAATAAACAGTATCACAGATTTAAAGAAAAGGACGTTAAAAATATTTTGCCTGTCAAAAAATTAAACCAAACCTTCATCTGATAATGGCTCCACATCTCCTAGATGCCTTGTGCCATTTTGTTTGACTTCAGTTGCCAGTTTCCTTCCTTAGTTCAGCATACAAGTCGGGTTTCCAATTAGTTAACTTCCTGTCTGCAGGAACCCTACTTGTATATCTTATATTGTGTAGATCCTCAAATCATCTCTGAATTCATGATGACACTGTCCTTCCTTCTGGAGGGTGGCTACTTTTGTTCCCCATGGTCTGTGTGTGTTGTAAAGTAGCCACTGCCCAAAGCTCACTGCTTTGATGGACTACAATCCGAATATAAAGTAGCTAGCTAAATGTGAGACTGTAGTCCACCTGCCAGAAGGTGCATTGGGTTGCCAGTCAAATAATGGTAATGCAGCGCACCTAGATTGCAGTACAGTGCATTTAGCTATATGCTTTTGTGTAAAGAAGCTCTTATAGGCAATCTCTGCAAACAAGCGATTACTGTAGTTTTCAGTGAGACTTCCATAATTGCCAACAGGCAAGTGCGGAAGTAAGGTGATCCAGCTGTCTCAAGTTTGAAGGGTGACTTCTGCAGACTGCATGCTTCAACCCTTTCCATAGACGTTGGATGGGATTCAGATCAGGGCTTATAGAAGGCCACTTCAGAATAGTCCAAGGTTTTTGTTCTTGTGTGCTTTTAGCTGTATGTTTTGGGTCATTATCCTGTTGAAGGACCTATGACTGGCGACTGAGACAGTTTTTGGACATTTCGCTCCAGAAGTCCTTGACAGTTTTGCCATTTATTTGTACCCTTCAGGGTCAAGGCACCTTATTGTCAGACACAGCAAAACAGCACCAAAACATAACTGAGCAGCCTCCTCCATGTTTCACAGTGGGTATGCTGTGCTTTCTTCAAAAGCTTCATTTTTTGTCTGTGACCATAGAGCCTATATGACTTGCCGAAAATCTCCAGTTTTGTCTCATTTGTCCAAAATACATTCTCAAAGAAGCATTGTGGCTTGTCAGGATGTATTTTAGCAAATCTCAGTTTGGCTTTTTTATGTTTTTCTTTCAAGAGTGAATTCTTCCTAGGTCTTCTTCCTTTGAACCCACTGTCGCTTCCTTGGCAATTTTTCTACCAGTCACACTTTTCTGTTCAATCCGGGGTTAATATTTCTCTTGCGGCTGTGCCCAGGGAGGATTGGCTACACTCCCATGGACCTGAATCTTCTTAACATTTAAAAAAGGCAAATGTATGTTGTTATTCAAAATAAATACCAATTTACTGTCTTACAATGCATTGTGAAGCCATTGGTACAAGCATTACCACAACACAGTATGGGAGACATCCCTCAATGACTGATGTTCCTGTAAAGGAGAGGGGCACAACCCATCGTCTGAAAACGAGGGGTCTAAGAGGTAGACAGACTGTTGACCTTTCCAGCGAAGGACTACGATGGTTTCCATCTCCTACAGGTAGCCTGATAAAGCTACATCCAGCCAGATCTTGAAGCAGTTGAGCCTCACAAAGAGATGTTGTTCACCAAGATCCACGACTTCTAGTATCTTCATAGATGGTCGCCTGAAATTCCCCCTTTGGGGAGGGGGCGGGTGCCAGAAAAAAGTACTAGGCTAAATGCAGGAAACAATTCTCTGAGAGGTATCAGGTCTGTGTGAACGACACTCAAGATGTGGATCTCCATTCAGGTTTGGGACAATGGAAGCTGGTTCTAGTTAACCTAGGTCAAAAGGGGAAGGGGAGAGAAAAAGAACACTAGGGGGAACCCTGTACCACTAAGGTTTTAAAGTGCCATAACTCAGGTTGTAGCCTGGTTTTTTAGGAGCTTTCTACAACTGAATGCCTGGATGGCAACTACCCCAGGAGTTGAATGGATGTCCAAAGCCCCCACTTGTTGAAGTAGGCATGCACCTTCTTGGTAAAATTTTACAGGGCTTGGCCAGTTTCTGACCTTGAGCTTTGTGGGCTGAGAGTCAGGCTCCGAAGGTATGGGGTACCTACTCCAAAAGTAAAGGGAGGAGAATGGTACTCCAGGTCAGCCATGGGAAATCTTTATAATATAGCTTCAGCAACAGTAAAAGCCTGACTGTGGTTTTAATCATTCCACGGTCCACTAAACCATATCTGCATTATAACCAACTATATCATAGCCAAGGACTCATGACCTGCAATATATTAAATTTTCTATCAGCAAGGCACATCTTGCCTAGGAAACTTTTGCCCACCCTTCCTTACAAAAGCACTCCAAATATGTCAGATTGCGTGACCACATCCAGTGCACAACCCTCTTCAGATGACCCCCACAGATTTTAAATCGGATTCAGGTCCGGGCTCAGGCTGGGTGATACCCATCTTTGATCTTCTGGTGAAGCCATTCTTTTGTTGATCTGGAGGTACGCTTTGGGTTGTGCTGAAAGGTACAATTCCTCATCTTCAGTTTTTTAGCAGAGGCCAGAAGGTATTGTGTCAAAATTGATTGCTATTTGGAACTGATCATAAGTCCCTCCACCTTGACCACCATACTTCACTGGGGGTATGGAGTTCTTCTGGTGATGTGCAATGTTGTTTTTGCGCCAAACATGCTTTTTGGAACTATGGCCAAAAAGTTTAATCTTAGTCTCATCAGACCATAACACATGTTTCCACATGCTTTTGTCAGACTTAATGTAGTGTATTTGTAGTTGTATTATTATGGTTTTTGCAAAATGTAGCCGGGATTGGATGTTTTTCTTAGAGAAGGCTTCTATCTTGCCACCATACACCACAGCCCGACATATGAAGAGTATATCAGCTGTCATCCATCCAAGTTAATGATCAATGGTGTGTCCAGGGAGAATGATTGTCTCCCAACTGCATTTATTCATATCACATATGATATATGCGTGGTGTGCTTGCCTTCTGCTGCTTTCAAATGCAGCGGCTGTCACCTGATCATTAACCCGAAAGGATGGCACCAACTGCTTGTAAATGGCAGATTAAGGATTCCTGCTGCAGGAAATCACAAGTTCTGACGCAGGAATCCCTAATCACAACTTAAATACAGGTGTGAATGGACCCTAAAAGGTGGAAAAAATTCTGAAGTGATTTACCTTGGTCGGATTTCTTTTTACATCTCAAAACCTGCCATTTTTACAGTAGTGTAAAGATTTATATCTACTGTATATGCAGATGCTAGCAATGCCACATAGGAAACACATTTTGGGGGGGCAGGGAGTTAGTGAGGGCTCTTGGTGCCAGCAGAGCAACAAATTATAAAAGTAAAAGGTATGTGCTGGCATTGTATTCTGTCAGCTATCTGCACCATGTTAATGTAATAGATTTCCAACAGGTTCACTCTGACAGTGATAGAAAATACTCATCATGTGCCAGCTGTGATTTTATTCATAATTTTAGTGGCTACCTGGCTCCTGGGGTAATCCAGGCATGAATGAACCAAATGCTGATTTTACATTTCCAAGTTA